ATCAGTATACTTTCTTCTTTACTTATTATACATTGGAACTAATACCTAAGGGAAACAAATAATTTTCTATTTGTTGCACTTCATATTCTGGGTCTATATCTTGAGTAAGTTAAGAGATATGACCAGGATGAATAATAAATGATGATTAATAACAATATAGCAATTATATATAAATTATACATAATTGTATAATATATAAGATAAATATGTGATAACAATTATAAACAATCAAAATTCTGTGTTGTTTTTTTTCAATATTACATTTATTTTCATACAGCTATTTTTCTAAAATTTCAACATTTTTCTCAAAAAAAAAAATCCCAAAGCTTAGAACTGGATCACTTGACCCTTTCTCTTCTTTTCTCCTCCCAGTTCAAAAAGCTTGCATCTCTTTATGGCCAGCATCCTCTTGGATCTGCAGGTAGGCTCCACACACTCAAGCCTCAGCACAATCTTCTTTGTGGTTTTGGCCTTCCTCTGGAAAATCAGCTTAGTCTGCCCCCCATAGTCACTGTGCTTCCGATCATAGCACCTCTTCCCCTGGGCATACAAGGAATCCTTGCCCTTCTTATACTGGGTCACTTTGTGAGGCTGATGCGTTCCACACTTCTTACAGTAAGTCCTTCGGGTGTTTGGCACATTGACCATCTTTATAGTAGAAGAGTCCACATAATGAAAACGGGAAACGCACCGTGCATGCTCCTCGCCTGGCTCTGCTTGCGCCTGAAAAGTCTGTTTTTAAGGACTTTTGTCAAAAGATAATCAAAAGTAATCTTATACGTGCAAGCAGAAGCAGTCGAGATAACTAGTAGTCTCAGGGACAAACCATGGCCAAGGTGACTGTAAGTTCTTGCTTAGAAGATAGGAACAAGTACCACAGACTTAGTAACTCAGAGAGTCATACAATGATACTTGGTAGGGATAGACAAGGAAGAAGAGCTCTAGAGAACTGGGAGCAGTAAAGCTGTAGAATTCAGGTGTGGCCATTTGAATGCCAAAGTGGACGTGGTGATATTTTGTCTGTACATTCTCCTGATCTTTGCTTCATTATTCCTG